CATATGAATCTTGCTTGGCAAACTCAAGCATAAATGCTAGGTGGGAAATGCTTTATTTATTTATTTTTTTGAAAGATGCAAAGGGAAGAAAAAAAAATAAAATCCAAAAAAGGCAACAAGATAGCCACAATTTATGAGAATAGCAAAAAAATGACAAGTAAAATAACAAGCTAGAAAATCAGTGATGTACTACAGTAAAGATGACGAGAAAGGTGTAGAATCAGCTCCACCATATCACAGCGCTCACTCCCTCAGATCTTTGGAGCAATCAGTGTTGGTACTGACAAAACCACACAGAAATAGCGATGTGGAGTCAACAAGTGCAGAGAGAAAGGCAAGAACGAAGGCCTCAGTGGCAATGCCGGCACTTCTTTCTTCTACCCTCTCATTGTATTCACTTCATCTTAGGTTGAACCCACAGCCTTCCAGTGTTCATACATTTACACTCAGTGTGTCTTCCATACTCTATTTCTACTTGCCTGAAGTATCTCTTTTCCCTTTAGTTTCCCATACAGTGAAAATGAAATTGTAAAGAATATGCACGTGTGCTGTTGCCGTCGCGTGTGTACGCAGCATGCATGGATGTGTCATGTGAATGTTCTATTTTAAACCAATATTTCTAGTTATCATTAAAATGAGACTGAGGGAAAGTATACAATTATATTCTTGTGTGAGAATCTTGAAATATTTTAACTTTCTGGGTTAAATTAATTTGGCATTTTACCTTTCAATATAGATTTGTTTATCCTAAAATATTTTATACAACCACCATTATTGTCAGCAATTTTTATTATTTTGGACATTTTTAAGCTTTTGTTCTCTATGATGACAATGACTACAAAGACATTTTTCTTTAAATATCATTATCCTAAGTCCACAATTGGGTATAATGATCTTTATGGATACTGGCATTTTCTTCTGTTCGAAGCATCATTTCTAGACTCTCTGCTAAAATTCAATCTATAATCTCTCACTACACAACTTCATACTATGAAAAGCTACCCCTCACAAAAGACCTTAAAACTAAGACACATGAATTACAAAATATGTAATATAGAAAAAGAGAAAGATAAACTTACCAAGGTCTTTTATGGCAGATGCAGTTATCATAGGATCTGAGCTCATAAGGATAGATGAAAACAGTGTCCACTGTATGGGTTTCAAATTTAATTTATTTAAAGATTGCAGGTACCAAAAAATTAAAGTATATTTAATCGCAAAGCCAGGGACTGTAATTAAAAATAACTGCAAAGAAGTTTTATAGTGGAAAAGTCAGATTACTTCTGTTTTTTATTTTAAAAAAGCAGATAATCAGGATTATTTCAGATGTAGAGTCAGGAAGTCCTAATAGCACCCCCAGCAGACCTGCAAGTGGGGCCATTTCAGTTGCAAACTGTTCCAGCTAAGCCCCTCCTGAATAGAGATGGTAAGATGGCTTAGCAGACATCACCAGAGACGACAGAGACCACTTTCCTACTTCTGTTCTTGTGAATTGCATCTTTTCATCAGTTTTCTAAACTCTTTGTGTTTGGATTTAGATAAAAATATAAATTGTTCAAATAATTTCACTACTAATACAGTCTAAGTAATAGTCTTATACTCTCAAAATTTCCTTTCTTGATTTCTTTGAATGAATTATATACCCATTTTATTTTATTTTTATTAATCAATTTATTTATTTCTTTTTGGTATTTAGTAGAGGGTCTACAGGGTCTACAGAGTCTCACTATGTACATCAGAGTTATAGTGATCCACCTGTGTTCAGCCTCCCAAGCGCCGGAATTACAGGCGCATGCCACCATGCCCAGTCTCAACTGCCCTCTCAGCGCGCCTTGTGGGCGGGGCAAGCACGGCATGCCGGGGATCAAACCCCAGCAGCTGCGCTCTGCCAAAGCAGGTGCTTTAGTCTGCTGAGCTACCTGGCTGGCCCTGCACCCTATTTTCAATCTTCAGTATTTTATCTCATGATCTTTTCCTGATCCAGTCCTATCTCCCATGATAAACAAAATCATTGCAGACTGTAAATTAGGGTGATGGCTACTTCTGTGGGTTTTATTCTCTGCTTTTGTATATTTACATGTGGTTGTAAGTGGCTTTAGACTGTAGGAACTGAATTGAACACAATGATTTTTCTCAACAAGAGAGTTTTTACTAGAGTTAATATACTTCCATAATAGCTCTCATATAGTTTCTCAGAATTAAAACTGTAATTGTTACGAAGTTCTGTAGTCAGATTTTTAGAACTTTTTCAACCTGATTTCAACATGCCAGACAGTTGCCATGAGGTGATTTACTCACTAATATATGAAGCTAAATTTACCATTCTGATGCCCTGTACTTTTTCCATCCTCTTTTGTCTTCCGTTTTAGAGCAATTTTTTTTTAAAGTCTAAAAACAAGCAACATATGGTCCATAAGTAAAAGTTTTTCTGTTTTGTTTTTTAAACAGTGTCTCACTATGTAGCCCAGGCTGGTCTTGAACTCTCAGCAATTCTCCTGCCTCAGACTTCTGAGTGCTGAGCATGTAAGTGTGCAACACCATACCCAGCTTCATGAATGAGTTTTATTACTGAAAAATAATACTTACCTGCCACTTTAACTTTTGGAGCATGTATACATCCATGTCAAATGCAACATTAAATATAATTACTGGTATGAATATACCAAAAAATAAGTTTGGATCTATCCATTGTATCGTATCTGCATATCTTTGGATCTAGTAATAGAAAAATATTTTATTTATCTCTATCTTAGCATAGAATGCAAACTCCCCAATCTCTAGCAACAAAGAAGGAACACTTTAAAAAGATAAAATACAATGTAATAAGTTCTGAAGTTTTGGCTCTGCTGGAATTTTATGATTTTCCATCTAATTATTACTAATTACAGAGGTAAGGTATGTATATCTTTGTGCTTTTTTTTTAAAACAACAGGTATAGCAAACATATTGACATGGAAGCAGGAGAATACATCACTAAATTTTGGTATACAAGAGAAAGATCAAGTAGGTGGCTTATGCACAAAAGAATCTACAAAAAGATAAAAGATCATATGCAATTTGGGAAATCACGAATAGTTAGATGTGGACTATTATCTTATTACCCATCCAGTGTTCATTCTTCAAGAACACACTAAGTTTCCTTTCTTGCATTAGATAACAGGTGACATCTTTGCACCCTCTGTGGATCTCTTTTTCCACTGGATGTCCTATGAATGTAGGCACCAATTGCTTTTCTTCAAAGTTACATTTGTAGCACCTGAAGTAATAACCTGCTCCTGGTTCTCAGATGAATACATATTGTCTATAACTGTGCTAAACAGTACTAGTTAAAATTGTTAAGAAGGGTCAATCATTTTCCAACAAGTTCTGATATCCGTGCTTTTTGGCCAGGATTGGTAAACTCTGACTCCTGGCCCAAACCTAGTCCATTCCTTGCTTTTGTAAATAAAGTTTTATTGGGACACAGCAATGACACTTAATATATGCCTTACCTCTGACTGCTTTTGAGCTACAACGGCAGAGCTGAGCTGAGACAGAGATTAGAAGGCCTGCATAATGTAAAATATTTACTTACATAAGAAGTTTTTCACAAAATGACCTACAGAACTGTTTGATGTGCCAGTAATAAATTCTATACACACACTTCCTTTCTTATGTATATATATGTGTATATATATATATACATATATATATATACACACACACACATATTTTTGTGTGTGTGTGTGGAACCGGGGATTGAACTCAGGCCCTTGCACTTACCAGGGAAGCGCTTGCTCCACTGAGCCATTTCGCCAGCCCCTTTCTCTCTTCTTTAACCTCACTAATTGTCCTCAAGTACTTTGCAGTACTGTAGCAGCCTTTACTATATTTCTCCAACCTTCTCACTTTCAAATCCAAGCAAGAAGTTCAATGTATGTTTCTTAATATATTCTATCCCATGAACACTGGAAACCCTATAAAATATTTTTAACTGAGGTAACAAAAAATTGCTACTGGACTCTTTTAGAATATTTTACTGAGTTAACACACCTATAATATTCAAATAATGGAACTAAGCAAAAAAAAGGGGATACAGATGAATGTCCATTTTGTATCTGTGTATTCAAAATGGTTAGAATAGATATATAGTTACATTCTCTTAATGAATAGAGGGATTTGTTCTAATAGTGTTTGTAAATAGGGTATCATGTCTGCATCTTGTACAACAATTAACCAACAGGAAGAATGTATGCAATGTGTTAATTATTGAAACTATCCTACCAATTTGGTTTGAAACTGTCTCATTGCTATTTGTTTCTCAATAATATTATGGGAAAAATAATAAAATAAATTTAATTAAAAAAATTGCTAAGTATCAGAATTGAATTGCTGCTACTAAAATCTTGTCCCAGCAGCACAAAATTTTCCTGAGTTCCTATCTTGTTAGTCAATTTCATATCTAAGTTTATTTTAACTCTTTTTAAGAACTCAGGGACTATTCTAACTCAGCAGCTGTATGGCTATTCTTTCAGGTTTGCCTGTGTACTTTTAGACTGTGTACTCTTACATCTGTCTTGACTACGTGTGGATTTATCTCACCCTTTTCAAGCCCCGCCTCCTTCCCAACAATACAAACATCCATGAGGTGACAGGGTAGTGAGGGGTTGAATATTTGTACAAATGTCCTTAATCAAAATTTGCATCTATGTTGCTCTTAACTACAGTACAAAATATTCATTTCTTGTACTCACCTCAAAAGACATAAAACTTAGTATTTCAAGACTGCATCCAAGTAAAAATAGTATCACGGGGAGAGGAATTAGAAAGACTTTCAAGTGCATGTTCAAAAATGCTGCAAAAATACATGTTGTTACTGAAAGACCGTGAAATAGTGTATTCTGAAACTTTAATGTTATGATTAATTAATGCAGAGGACAGTGAAATACTGTTCATTACTCATGCTGTATTTTGCTGTCGTTGAGACCTTCCTTCACACTGTAAGCACACAGTGTAATTGTTAGCTTGTGAGTCTCCTGCTTCACCTCTCCTTTGATGGATATCATTTCCTTACAATTTTCAGTAAACTTTGCTAACACTCATTGCCTTTTACATTCCTGAAATATTTAGAATAGCATTTCTATATACTCATACATCAGAGATTTAGTTAGCAACCGCATAGTGAAAGATTAGTAAAAAAATTAACAAAACCTCCTGGATGAAGAACAATTAGAGTCTATAATTTGCCTGACAGCAAAAAGCTAGTTGCATATTACATGTTATAAAGTCTGCAATAAATCTTAACTTTTATTTACCCTTATCAGTGTAATCAAAGAGAAATAAGTAATATAGCACTTTCTTCTCTTTCATTTGTTCTGCCTCTTTGTAGTGTAATTCCTTCTCGAGTCAAAGAAAGGAGAAAAGAACCAAAAAAACCATATTCACCTTTAGTTTCTTCATCGTTCTTATAAAAGTTTGGCATATATTTATCATTTGGATATAATTTATAAGACTCCTTACCCCAATGTTTGATTTCCTGCTTATTTGCTTCAGTTATTTCCATTACTGAAACCTAACCCTGGCAAGTATGAAGGTATGAGCACTTTGAATCTGATAGAAGTGAAAAATGTGCAAGTCAGATTGTACTTTTACTCCTCAGAACCAAATTATTCTTTGATTCATTTGATTAAAAACATTGTGATAAAGGAATGACATTTTAATAGTGACATTCTAATTTCCTACTACTATTGTAACTTTTAAAAATTCTGATTCTGTATATTAGCATTTATTAGACATATCCATGGAATAAAATGAGAGAGAGAGAGAGAGAGAGACTTAGAGAAAGAGACAGAGACAAGGAGTGATAGAGACAGAGAAACAGAGACACACAGACTTACCTCCAATAGTACAAATGAAAGACAGTGTAAAAATGATTTCAGGGAGTTCAGTAGGAGTATTCAAAAACACACGCAGGATGAGGTCCCCTAATGTGTCAGAATCATTAGAATTCGAGTGGGAAACGCTGTTATCATCCATGTTGTTTGCTACAGTTGGTTTGAATCTGATTCTGTATCTTTGCAAAATTCAGAGCAC